AGGAAGGTGGGTGGAAGAGGGGGGAGGGGGGAGGGGGGAGGGAGACGGTGAAAGGTGAAAAAAAAGTTCACGGAGACGTTGAGAAGTGAAAAAGGTCATAGAGACGGTGATGGTAGTTTGTTTGTTCGCTTGTTTGTTTGAGTAAGGAGAAGCACATCGACACAATGATTGTCACTTAGTGCAGGAAGAAAGCAAGACAGACAGAAATACAAAAGGGAAAGTAAAGAAGTAGGACCTACCAGTGGCGCCCTCCAACCACCCGCACGGAGAGAGTAAAAAGTGGGGGAAAGTGTCACAGAGACGGTGGCAAGTGATAAAAAAAAGTTTCCCAAGACGGTGAAAAGTGAAAAAAAAAGTTCACCAAAACGGTGAAAAGTGAAAAGAAAAGTTCACCAAGACGATGAGAAGTGGGGAAAAAAGTTCACCAAGACGATGAGAAGTGAGGGAAAAAGTTCACCAAGACGGTGAGAAGTGGGGAAAAAAGTTCACCATGACGGCGAGAAGTGGGGAAAAAATTCACCAAGACGGTGAAAAGTGATTTTAAACAAGTTCATCAAGACGGTGACAAGTGATTTTTAAAAAGTTCACCAGGACAGTGAGAAGTGGGACAAAAAATTCACCGAGGCGGCGAGAAGTGGAAAAAAGGTTTCACGTACTAGTGAGGGTACCTGTGTCCACCGTTCCAGTAGGTCACCGCGGTTTTCTCCGTGCCTGGTGCCAGCAGAGGGGAGTACGGGTCCTGCATGAGGTCAGAGTTCACACACAACACGGTCCACGTATCCCACTGTCTATCTACTATCACCTTTGCACACACCAGGGTGGATGGTCAGTTCAGGTAAGAAAATGTCGAAGCGTCCGTAAGACGAGTGAGTTCTTTTGTAGTTACTAAAACATGCGACGGGTTTACACAAAATCCAGGTATACGAGCCACATTCACTCAAATCTATTGACCCAGTTTGTTCTTTTATTTTTAAACAGCCAATTTGACGGCCCCTTTTGGTACACTGACAATTCGGACAGGATATCGAATCACGAATCAGCACGATATCGCAATGAAACGGGAACAGTTATGTACAAAGCGATACAGAATCTTACTACAAGTTCCGGTTTGAGAAACTCACACCGGTTTGGGAAGTTTGTTTACCCCAAGTAACAAAGAAATTACAACTTTACTTGCATCTCCGCTCCTTGTAATCTTTTTTTAAACAGTTCCAGCAGAAGTGAGAAAAGCAGTTTATGGAGAAGCAAGCGTGTAATACTCAGATGTGAGATAAAGATATGCAAGTACTAGAGCAGGTAACTTTTCTTCAAGTTCAAGCGTGATTACAAGGGTAAAAACTGCAACGGTCAGTAGTGCATGGGAGAAAGCGAGGAATGTGGAAGAAAATAAAAATGAACTGCTTCATGAATGACTGAACTGTGAAAGAGACTTCGATGAAACCAGCCAGCAAGTCAGAGATTGTAGAACTAGATAATATTATCTTCAGTCTTGAGAGTCAAAGAGGACTTGTTGAGTTACGTCTCTTGTGACTGTTAGTGCTACTAGAGGTGTAGTAAGATGACAACACAGCTATCACTAGAGCGTGTCAGCTCGGTCCGATCATAGAAGGCCACTTACGCTATCTCGGAGACCGAGCGAGAGAGCAAGCTATGCCGGCGCTACGGATGAGAGTGAGTAGGTGGTCGCTACGCCATCCGACTTATAGGGCCGGTGGCCACCCCCCACACACACACACAGGGGAGGGGGAGGGAGGCAGGGGCCGACACCTCTCTCCCTCCCTCCTACCTCCCACGCCATTGACTGGTCCAGTGCGTGTGTGTGTGTCTGCGTGGTTGTGTGTATGTTTGCGCGCGCGTGTGTGTGTGAAGGACCCCTGGGCGCAACGACATCGTGAAGGGAGAAGGAGAGGCGGGGGAGGTAGGGAGGTGGAGGTTTTGCCGCTTCTGCGCGGTGTGGGAGGGCAGTCGGCGAGTCAGAGGGGGGATTCGGGGAGGAGGAGAGGAGGTGAG